ACAGACGACGCTCTATTTATCCACCGGTTGTACCATAATATTTCATCCTAATAATAACGGACATACTTATCGATTCGACTCTCTTGGACATGTGCACGAATAGAGCTGTTGTGTTTTCCCCGAGACCCTTCCTTTACGATTCCATTTAGCTCAAAATATTTCTAAAAAAGAGAAAGCGTGGACAAAAGAGGAAGAAAAGGAAAAGGAGAGAAGAAGAAAAAAAAAGACGAGCGGTAAAGAATTCGGAGAAAAATGTAATTTCTCATTAAATCGTTGTTAGGACAATGCGAGTCGAGGTGGCTGTGTTAAATCGGGTTAAGGCACATCTATAAATACCTCACTAACTGTGAGTGAGAGAAGACGAGAAAGAGAGGGAGAGAGAAAGAAGCACAAAGTGTACTGGTAGAAGCGTGAGAAAGAGAGAAAGAAAGAATACAAGAGATAAAGAGAGAAGGAGAGGGAGCGAGTGAGATATGTAAACGGAGAAGAACAGAGAGAAATAGTAAGCAAGCATACGAATGAGCGAGAGAAAGAACGAGAAGAAAGAGTGGGGGTGGAATAGGGTGGCGGAGGGGGATAGAATGGGGGGAGGAGGGAGACTAAGAAACGTGCGAGAGAGATAAAAGCAGAATCACAAAGTTGACAGAGAGAAATGAAAATGAAACAGAGAAAGACAACGCGCTGATAACGGCGGAGGAGGGAGAGGTAATCAGTCCGTCTAATAGTGTGGCACATTGAAGATACACACAATTGCATTCGTTGCCAGATGTCTAAGTACACGATCGTCTCCCCACCATTGACTACCCCTTCCCCCACTCGTCACCACGCTGTCACTTCTGCATTACGGACGAGCGAGAACACATCGAGTGAATTCGACAACGAACGAGGGAAGAAAAAGATCGCAGGCGCGCGGAATCCGTACTAGCCAGCGCAGACAATTTTTAATTATAATTTTTCAAGTTACTCGAGTTGCTCACCTCTATCTTTTCCATTTCTTTGCTGCACGACTGTCACTTACTATTCCCACAGTCATCTAGGATCCTTTGGCACACACACACTGACGGCACATAGCGCGATATATCACGAGCTACACAAACGCGGTGTGCGTGTATCGAAACGATATAGGTTTGACGCGCGCGGACCAGCGACTCACGGTGCGGCGCACGCCGCTGTCCCATCAAGACTACTTTGTATTTACTCTAATTATGTGACGTCACGGATACACTGCTCGCCCCACCATTCGCCGCCGGAGGCGCCCGAGCAATGACGAGCGTGCTCGAGCGATGCCGAGGCCGAGCGAGCAACGCGCATGGCGCAGCCACCAGTCACCTGTCGTCTCTTCTCCTTCTTGTAGAGCGCTTAGTGCAGTACATCGTGAAACGTTTGCAATTTTCTACACCGTGTGCTTCTTTCTCACCAAACTCTTGCCTTTGCGGTTACGTACTCTTTTCTACCGTATCACGATCTTCCTCTACGACCATTAGGCATATCTTCCGTTTCTATCATCGTCTAAAAAGTTACCAACGATACGTGCGGTTACACATATACGGCCGATTTCTGTGCTCTAACCTTAACCCGATCTACGAATTTGTGCTACTGGTGATACTTCTTCGCGTTACAGACCTATCAGATTCGAGGAAATTTCTATCTTCCTATATCTGCGTTGAATATTAATATTCCGTGATTGATTGGATTTCAGGGAACAGATAAACTTTTTTCATGAATATTGCACGTTTGACGTTCGACTTGCAATGCAAATTTATGGACTCTGTTGTGAGCACTGACAGTTCAAAGTATCCAACAGCTGATAGTGCAAAAGTGTCGTTTACTAAAAAATTTAACTTGTATAATTATTTAATCAATGTTGTGAAATGTTGTGTCTACAAGGATCGAATGCAACGTTGATAAAACAGCAACACGCATCGAATGTATTTTACGAATTCTTTTAATCGTTGCGTTCAACGTAAGTGCGGTTACATTTACTTGTTTATTACCGTAACAATTTTTATCTCAAACGTTAATCGATTTCTCTTCGTTCCTTCTTTTTTTTTTCTTCTTCTTTCCTTTCTTTCTTAACCACGTAAAATAAAAGAGTGTCAGAGAGATTGTAAAATTTTCTTAGAACGTATAAAAAATTTTTTACGCGTGTGAAAAATCGATCTAAGCGAACAGTAGGGATCTCGAGCAAATAACCGAATATTTCAATAATCCGGATCGTGCGAAAACATAAAATATTGTAACGATTTACCGTTTTATGCGACATGTGGTTGACTCGTACTTAAAAATTTAACGAACGCGGTCGATATATACGGAGAAGTGTGTCGATAAAAGTGCGTAATAAATTACACCACCGTTGAAACATCATTTATTTGTTCCATTTATTACCCAAAGCTCTTTTCCAATGTCCAATTTTCATAACACTGGCGTTTCTCACGATGAAATTGTTTGCCTTTATCGAACACACAGGTTACAAAAATCAGTGTCTACTTGTACAGTAAACAAACTACATTTCTCAGACATTTCGCTTCATAGGTTAACGTTCTCTCGCCCTGTATAATGAATAGACCCGATAATTTTCCATTCGCGATATAATTCTTTTTTTTATTTATTCAACAGTTTTTGTATAACTTTCATATGTTATATGACAGAGATTTAAGTGTTGCTCCAGATAAAGATTTTGTTGTAGCGGAAGGCAACGTGCACGAGGAAGTAGGAATATATATATATGTTTCATATACATTCCTATATATATATTTACAATAAGTGTAGAAGAAACATGTTTAGGTGTCGACAGACGGATTTTAGGCCTATTTCGCGACACATTGATTTGCACGGTACTACGATTAGCAAACTATAGATGCAGGCTCGTATAGATTTAATTGTGTGATTATTTCGTTGTTGCACTTTTCTTTTTCATTTTTCCATTCAGACATATTTTTAGAACTTTCCGTTGCATTGGTTTTACAAGAACGAAATTATCCTTTAAACGCGAACATAGAAATAAATGATTTTTAAGTGAACAGAAAAAAAAAAAAAAAAAAAAAAAAAAAAAAAAAAAAAAAAAAAAAAAAAAAAAAAAAAAAAAAAAAAAAAAAAAAAAAAAAAAAAAAAAAAAAAAAAAAAAAAAAAAAAAAAAAAAAAAAAAAAAAAAAGAAAAAAACAAAAAGAGAAAAAGAAACGAAAATAAAGTTGAAAAACGTACGAGATGATCGACGATGGAAGAATTACGTTTTCGCATAATTACGTTTAATAGCCTGAAATTGTTAAAAATATCGGTAAAGCCGAGAGAGAAAATTTCTTGGATCGATGAAAAAATAAGATAAAAGATTTTTGTTATTCCGAAAATTCGTCTTTTCGATTTATTAACTACCATTTTTCATTATCCTTCTAACAAAACTTTTTCGAGATAAAAAGCAAAAATCTGATTCGTATAATTGGAGATTGATGTAACGAAACCCGTGCAACGGAATTACACGTCGGACGGCCATTACGAGAAATCATTTTGTGCGAATTATACACGCGTCACTAAATCGATGAAACTTTTTAGCGCCAGAACGATCGATATCTATCGAAACTAACGTTTACACGAATATATTGGTTAATTTTTACCTTAATTTATAAACGGTACTCGATATGGTTGAACAAACGGCATAGGAATAATCCTGTAAATTTTCGACAACGCAGAGAAATAGATCCGTTAATTCATCTGTCAACTGGGTCTCGAACGGTTAACGGTTTCTTTGCTATAAAAACTTCGCAGTTGCACACTTCGTCGGTATTCGTATATTATTCGCTTCCGAACATGTAACTTTGAACAAGAACAAAATCTTGTCGATGTTCTAGCACTAATTACTGATTACGTGACGCACAAAGTAATAGTTTTATCACACTTGGAATTATAATTGACATGACGCGGTTACCGAATCGTATCGAGAATTGCACTGCGCAACAAAAGTTAAAATCGGAGGGAAACTGCGGTGACGACAGCGCCCCTAACCACCTCCGCTATCTAGTATTAAAAGTAGGAACTACGATGAAGTTTTCCTTGTGCACAAAATCACATAGTGTTTCGACTTGAGATTCGGGATTATTTAAAAGTTAAAATTCACTGCTTTCCTCTTCGTTCCATCGTTCGATTCGAAAAAATTCGTATCTCTCGTAATAACCGTTCTATCTTTAATCGCACTCGAGAATTCCATTCGAGCTTGTGCACAGTAGAAGAAAGTAAGTATACGAAATCGCGGTCGATAATTGGTTACGATTATTGTTATAACGCAAGATGGCAAAACGAATTTCGCAGGCTTACCGACCAAGCAATAGAGGAAATTACGTAATTTTCTTTCTAGACACTGAACGTGAACATTGTCGCGTACGTTTAAACGACCGAGTATTTTCGAATTTCTTTTTTTCTCCAGATATATCGCAGTTACGTAACACTGCGATGAGAGAGGATAAATTACGTATCGAATTTTGGTTGCTCGTAAACGTGGTCAGAGTAACGTACGTGACACGTTTTCTTGTATAACGTTTTTGCGCTCAGAGGACGAAGCAATTCGTTACGTATAATCACGATAAATTTTCGGATCAATCGAACGTTATTATAATTTCGAATATTACGTTTTACGCCAGTCTTGCCAATACTGGTTTCGTTGGTCCTCCAAGAGTCAATAACTGAAACAATGCGAAATAATAAATTTATTCGCTATTCCAAGCACATCGGTAACAAAATATTAATGGAATTCAAGGAGTTCCAGCATGTCCCATCGACAACGATCAATTTTCGTCTAAATCTAAATGTCGTCGGTACTGTGACCAGAGCGTAAGTGGAGTGGGGAAAATATCACAGCTGGCCCCCGGAAACGTCGAAAATCCAAAATAAAGGAGGGACATTGAGGGCCTTCGAGGAACTGCCCGGTCGTCCCAGCTACGACCTTTTGTAAACCTGTTCTCTCTCACGCGCGTTTCCCGCTAGCGAGTATCATTGATAAGACGCTTCATCTGTGAAACATAGAAAAAATGATACAAATATTGACTACCTAGTCTCTAAAAAGGATTCCTCAGTAAGCGAACCGGGCTGATCGGGCTTCCCTTTGCGCGTATATTCATATTATACATGTATATTCTGTAACTAATAGTAATATTAATTGTATGATCGCTATTATTATTATTATTATTATTATTGTTATTGTTATTATTATTATTATTAATAATATTATTATTATCATTGGCTCGCACGCTAGACCGATCGCTGTGTCTGTGCACTTGCCACATTCGCGATTCTCTCCAAACACCTTTCGTACCGATAGAAACCATCCTGTTCGGAATAAAAAAATATCGGAGTAACTTCTTGAAATCGTAAAACAGACGTGAGCCGCTAGGTAAGGCTTTTTAAGTAAATACCCTATCGAAATGGGGCCACAGTCACATGCATAGTGCGTTGAAAGCTTGTGGATAAAGTTTAGAACAAAATTTCTTTCAGTACCCTGTTTCAATCCTGCCGAGTCAAAGTTGTTATCCCATAATTCAATGTGCTTGAAATTTACTACGGTCGAGCGCACCGGCACAGTAATTGGCTTCTACTTGTATTAAGGAAAGCGTGTCGAGGTCGCACGAGGCTTCTGAATTTTTGTTCAAAACGCTACTTTATATAGGGAAATTATAATCACAGATTGATTCAGCGCGTAAATTTCTAAGCGGTCGACGTGTTTCACGTCCTTTCGTCGCGCTGCTACATCGTTTTTCATGATAGGATTCATCGTTTAGATACGCGGGATACGTAATTCAAAGTCTATCAGAATTTTTGGTCGCCAAAGAGATCAACGAATTCCTTCGTCCATCTCTCTTTTCATTTATTTCCCTTACTCTTTTCTCCCCCTCCCCTACCTTTCTCCCGCTCTCTTTCTCTTTTCTTTCGGATAAGAAACCGATTACGTTGAAATTTGTACTCGTTAAATATATACTTGTCGATTACGTTTAATTCAATAAACAACAATGAAACTCGCGTATTACTCAATAAGAACACGTATCATTTTGTCAAGGATATAAATGTATAATATCAGTTATAATATAATAATTAGCCCGAAGACGCGATCAAACTATAGATTAATTTCGGGTCAACTTGGAAATATACTCTACGTAGATATACAATCGTCACAAATACAACACTAAACATCTGAAATAATGAACCCACCAAATACAACAGGAAGATGCCTGACGAGGTATAGATAGACTTTGAAAGCATCTAACCCTGGCAATTCAAAGGATACGTCTAGCTGTTTCCTGAGACCTTACTTCGACGACATACTTCGAGCAGTCTGATATGAGGAACCCGTACGTAGATTCGTATCTCTTCGTACGCGAATTGAAGCCTCGCACGAACGCGGTGCCGTAAAGTCATTAAGTTTCTTAAAATAATTTCTTTTCTCTTTTCTCGTGTCGTTCGTGCCGCTCGAGGGCTCTTCCTAACGAAGGGCCGCCGCCATCTTGGGACGCATCATCGATCGACAGTCCAAAACCATACCTATCACAACTAATACTTTCAATTGTTGCGGCATAGATTCAGTCTGCTTACAAAAGCCTTAGGAAATTTTCTAAAACGAGAGCTGTAGCTTATTTAAGGTGCGTTTGAAATTAGCTTTTCTTTTATAAGAGTAAAGTGAACTTTAGAATTTTTGCTGGCAAAAGTGGCTAGTTTGCTCAATCTCTAACGATCGATCGATGATTTCTTTCTCCTATCGGCCCCGAAAAGAAGAGCGTATCCCCGAGCGAGCAACGCGACGTAAATCATGGACCTTTTATCGAATAATCGAACATGTACTTAATTATTCCGCATCCCCACCAGCGTCTGTTCCCCCATCGTCCTGATTACTACCATCTTCGTTCCCCGTTTCCGCAGCGTTATCAGCAGTTTCCTCGTTCTCCTTGGCCCGTGCAGCATCATCATCATCGATTGTTTCTTCCGCATTTTCTTTATCCGACAACGCGAACGCTTCTATTCTCTCTTTCTCCCCGCAGTCCCCTGCCGGAGGATTTTCATCCTCGTTCTCTACGGCTTCCTCGTTGCTGAACGCGTCCACTACCTTCTGCTCGATGGTAAGCTGTCTGACAGCATTCTCCAAATTTTCTCTTAAAACGCGATTCATCTTGTTTTCCTCGTCCTGCCACGTCAAAGGCATGAACGTCATTCGAACAGTTTGATAGAGCTTCCTGAAGCCTAGCTTCTTGTACAAACTTTGGCTGGCTTCGTTTTCTGGACGTATCACCACGAAAGGCTGGTAACCCTTGTCTGCAACCCGCTTCGTCAGGTACCTACGAGTTTGCTATTATGAATGCAGAAGTATCTTTGGTGAAAGACATTTTCGAGATTATCGGCTTTAAACTTACTCATCGAGCAACGATCTAATTACGCGAGATTTTTCCATGGAAAAGAGAAAAATTGGTCTACCTTGCTAATTTTGTTCCGAAACCCTTCCTTCGGTATTCCGGCTTGGTCTGCATGGAAAACATCGCTCCGTAATAAGATTGAACCATCCAAGCGGCCAGGCTACCCTTTGCAAACACTCCAGCCGCCGGAAGCGTCCTGATCAAACGTAGGAAAACCTCGTGACACTCCATATCGTTGGCGGGGTACAATTCGTAGATGCCCTCGGCGTGTTCTGCTTTCAACGGTTGAACTTGGACATCGGCCTCTTCGTCCAGTTCCTGATTCGCCACCTGATCTACGTTATGTGGATCCTTGCACATGAACACATCGCCCACTACCCTCTCGATAGTGCCGATATCCTCGTAAAGGCGCATCAACTCCTCGGCGATATCGTAGTGAATAAAATTGATGTAGAGCGGTTTCGACCAGTCGATCAAAATGTCCTCTTCCCTTAGTAACTTAAGCAGCTCCAGCCGGTCGTTGGGACAAAAGACGCCCACGCTTTCGAACAGCAGACCGTGGGGCTGAAAGTCGATGAAGCGATTATGTTAAGGAAAAGATTGCTCTTCTGCCGGCGCTAAAACTAAGAGAAGTTGCGAGAGGCCCTGGCCTCTGGCGCATGAATTATTTATCGCGGGGTTTCGTCGCTTAACGTTCAGATTTACTCTGTCCTCTGTTTCGATGGCACGAAATTCCATTCGGAATATAACTCGGTGGTTAGCCAAGTTAGACGCCTCGGTTTCGATTCGCTCCAAAACGACAAATACCATCGAAAATATCAAAGTTCGCCAGTTTTGATTTACGAACTGGCAAATTTCGGCAAGGACAGGAGAATTGGACGGTAACGATTTATCGAACGAACGAAGATTGCGGACACGTTAATTAAGTAAAGAGCATCGAATAAGATAGGGGGTAGATTAGGGGAGTCACGAGTGAGGTCAGGAAATGAACTGGCAAGGCTGTAAAACAAAAGATTGGCCGAAAGCCAAGCAAGGATTTGGGCCAACTTTTCTGCACCTCTATCCGATCCGTTCGGAGTCCGTTCGGAAACAAGATGAATTCGCCGAAGGCACGCGAGATACGTTTTCTTTTCAATTTCAAGATTTTTATTCGCGTAAAAGGATCGACGCGAGAGCATCGAATACGTTGCTTCGTCGAAATGATTTATGAATGATCGCGAAGGAAAAGTGGACGTGGCTGAACGTCTATTCGAGGAAGATAAATCGCGCGAGTGATGTTCGCGATATTTCTTTTTTCTCGGACGCGTACACTCGATGGAATAAAATTATATTTGCCACGTGTAGCAGAGACATTATCAATCGTATTTAAACGATAATCTAAAACTAACGAAGATTTATTTTATACTCACGGATAACGTCATGCCTGGAAAATGTAAACATATCGCATCATCGGGCCAGCCGTTAGCCACGTAGAAATTAAAGTCCCACACTCTGTCTTGCATGTAGGTCAACAAAGTTTGATGGAACTGCGAAACAGAGACAAAGTTAGGTTAAAAGCTTTAAACAATTTCGCAGAGTTTATACTTTCTTTCGAGCTACGTTTCCCAACTGAATAACACCGTGTCGAATAAACGAACAAAATGACGAGTAATCCTTTTGCACGGTGCATTTACAAAGCTATAGGTCCGCGAAGAAACAGTTGGAAATCTTTTCATCTCGCGGAAGAATTAGAGGAGTACAAGCTCTCGGGGTAGTTAAAGGGAAGGTTTCTTTTCGCGGTGCGCATTGACTAAAGGCAACGTCTGAGATGAAAAGCTGGATATTTACGAGGAAGCAGCAGGATAAAGAGGAATCTAGCCAAGGGCGACGCTCCAGACGTCGGCTCTTAAAATAAACTACCACGTGCTACCTCTGATACCTTCGTGTCTAAAATGTTCTTTCTCTCGTTTTCTCAAATATCGCGATGATTTCGATTTTCCGACGAAAACCAACGGGTAACTCTCCCATTCGTTCGGCCACTTTCGACACCATCGCGTCGGCGGCTGCAGCGATGACGGCCACGGCGTCGCGACCATCGCACGGGAATCGGAAGGACGTTAGCGAGTTCCTACGGTTGCCAATGAAAATAGGAAACGTGTCGCCAAAAGTTCTGCAAGAACCTGTGTCTATTACCAAGTAAACACATCGAATGTAGTTTACGCGGTGAACGATGCGAGCTACTGGCTCGGTAACAACCTCTCGGTTGAAAGTAAGTAAATAATCGACAGTGGAAGCTATTGCGGAACGCCATAGTCTGTCCTAGATTTTATATAACCGTTGCACCGGACAGAATGGACGATCATCGAGTATCATACGCGATACTCGATAAACGTCCTAGCGATTTCACGCGTCAAATCGATTCGGAATTTTAATACAACCCGGAACAGGCACGTACCCGTACGTGTTTTTATTTCTCACGCATGTTTTATCCGTCACCCTCGATATCCGTCCCACAATCCTTTAATTCTTCCAACATTCGCTAAACGAATTCGTACATGGACGCACGAACTTTTCAATCTATCCTCGATCGATGCCGAAAGGACGCGAGTCCTTCGCACAGTCCGAAAGAGAATATAAGCACTGTTGCTTGTTCTCGAAATATTTTTCCCCGCACAGATGTCGTGTAATAAAACGCTTCATATGCGACACGTGAAGTATAACCGGCATAAATTTGCATATCGCTGGCTCGATCTCGAAAAGTGGCAGGAACGATGATGCAAACGAGAAAGCTGCAGGAATTGTCTCGATTCGTTCGGTTCTTTAAAGCGAAAATACTGCGCCATGAAAATTTCGAATTAACTTCCAGAGAGAACTAGACGAAATTGTCGCGTCGAGAGTAGAGCTGCGTTTCGAAGAAGTCTTCCCACCTTTCGTGCTTGATCGATACAAAATGCCGGTAGCAATCTTGTTTCTCTAGTCGTCTTCTTCCTATATTACCTTCCTTCTATACGTATATCTTTCTCCCCGCTTTCGTATTCCTTTCATATTCCTTTACACGCTAGGAAAGGTCAAACAAAGGTAGTTTGTCTAACTTATCGTGGGCATCGCGCACGTGCGCACATCGGGACGTGTTAAAAAATGTAGCATAATTGAATTAATAGAACTTAACGCGAGTTAAAAGTCATGCAACCTAATTTCCTCGCTTTAAGGTTAATAATAGAGCGACACGTAAACGCGGCGGTGGCCGCGGATAAGCTAGATCTGGCAACCCGATTATGTTCGATATATAAACGCGATTAACCCTAATTAAATTTCGAAAGCTTCGATCGGGAAATAAGTCGTGGAAAAGGAAGGAAAAGAAGTCACGTTATTCGTCAACGGGTCGATTAATTTTTCCACGATACGGATATATCGCGGCTATTTATACGAAAGAAGAGAAAAAAGAAAACGGTGTCAGTATGCGCAGCCGAGTACTATAGTTGTCTCACCGCGTCGCCACTTGTTACCGCAGCAAACAATCTCCTTCTCCGGAGTGGACACTCGCTAGAGCTAGAGCGGAAGAGACGCCGTAGTCGGACTTTTCCTCTTTTTTCCCAACTCGGTTTGCTCGTGGCGAAGACAAAAGGAAAGAGGAAGAGACGATTGGGAAGGACTCGAATCCGAAAAGCTATCTATCATCTGACGATGGAGCATCGAGCCGCTTGGAGCAGGCTTACCGCGTAGCCCGTTAAGGATCATCGTGACGCGGTAAGCGTGCAAGAAGCATCGATTCAAATGCGGATTCGAAAAAGCCATACGGCATCGCGTGTGCACGTCCGGACACGACCTTGACCTTGCGTTTTCGTCGGTTGGCACAGCTTTATTCGACGATAAACGACGCGGCCGGTATGCGCCATCGTTTCATGCTGGCCAAGCATTATAGCGGCGCAACGCGAGTACCAACGGGCGTCGTTAACTCTTCCGAATCCCGCAAACTGCGAACGCGAAACGGGACGGGAGAAACAAGAAGAAAATAACCACTGCGAGCGCTGAGAGCCGCTCTTCGCCACCCGAATGGCTGGCTAACTGAAAATCTTGCCAGGGAACATTACGTCGATGGAACTAATAACGGTATGCCGAAACGGAGCAAAAAATTGATCGCGAAACGTTTCCCGTGTACGCACGTATACACTCGCGAACTCGTAATACAGCTGGTAAACTCGCGGACGTTATGTCAGACATGAGAAAGAGAGAAAGAGAGAGAGAGAGAGAGAGTTGGCGATCGCCGATAAGCGATCGACGAGCTCTCTCGATAACGTTTAAACGGTTACGACATCGAATACCAACGGAATGTCGCAAGAACGAATCTCTTGGTCGATATCGCGGCGAGATTACGAGATCGACACCATGCGTTGATCATGGAAACGCAACCTTGGCCTTAACTCCGCTACACCTTGCACATCGGTACCGGAATCGAGGTGGCGTGGCCAGCAGTCGTAACACCGGTAGTCCCGCCAGCCGTCGACGAGCAACAAACAAAGCTCTTTTTAGATCGATAACTCGCTGGCTCGAGAGTGAAAGGCGAAAGAGAAGGAAAGGAATCGAAGCCTGGAGAGTCTCTTTGCAATTCGTTCCTTTCCATTTCCCCTTTGCCTCGTTTTAAATAACCGAAAAGTTTGCCACTTTTTCGAGTACACCGCGATTATACACCACCATTCGTACTCGATTATAAATACGCTCCACGAACAGACTGCGATCCGATATTCGAATGTTTGTGAGAAAATAAGGATCGTTGTTTACTTTCGAGCCAGGTGTTCGAGTATTCCGCATATCGGTATTATGGTACACTCGTAAAGCGATATGAAGTCGTAATAACGCCGATACCAACCGTGGTTATTACTGTGACGCAATGATGCTCTTTGATGCGTGAAATTTCAGCAACGACACATTTGTCAACGTCTACGCAATGCCGTCCGACGTTCGGGATTCGAAGTTGTACAGAGAAATTACTCACTCGCGTCGATTTTTCATTAAATTCACGAAGAGGGAAGAAGAGGACGACGAAGAAGAAGATCGGAAAGTCTGGTGGAAAAAGCGAACAGGGTACGCGAAACGATACCGGTGAGAGAGCATATCGGATTAAACGTTCCGTCAGGTTTAAATCCTTCCCTGGAATACACTCTCGCTGACCGACTGTCACACTTTACACCGCGCCGGTACCATTTGCATTCACCGTCGTCTATCGGGTGTATTAAAATCGCCGCGTTTTCGCTAGTTAAACTTCACTCGACGTTGCAGCCCGGGTAATCGTAAAAATCGACTCGACGGTGCGCTCGAATTTATGCATGACATAATGCATGGCGTGGGAGGGAATCGAGAAACGCGTGGCGATAATATCGCGAACGGTCGATAACGGCGAGCCATTATTATTGACATTGTTGTTAAAAATTATTCAAACCGCGGGAGGCGAGATAGCTCGTGCAGTCGTTATTCGTAGGATGCTCGAGAATCGATGAAACGGAGGTGCCATCGAATCGTACGAGGAAGAAGGGTGTAGTATCATATAGTGGTATATAGAAGCAAACGTCGTTTAATCCTTCCGAATTGAACGAGCTTGCCAAGAGTGAGCTGGTGATACTTCGTAGCTATACGTAGTACATAAACGACGGTCTATCGTTTCTATTAGTATATTCGATACCGCTTGATAATACCGATAACAATGGCGTTCGGTGATACAGGATACATCGTCTTATTGACGCGTAGCGATTTAGGTAGGTCAACGACGATAAATCAGCACGTAAAGCGACATTACGTACGTGCATAGGAAACTACTGGTACCGATGTCGAAATAGACCGTCGCGAGTCCTTCTACGATGCAATGGCGGAACGGTGAAAGCGAGAAAAAAACCAAATATCAGCTTTTACACGGAGCGTGTGGTAACAAACACGAGGACACGGTTTACAATCGCGTAATCGGTACACACGCGTCCGATCCATCGAAACGTATCGGCAAAGGGATTGCAGCCTAGTCCCGGTATCATATACATACGTGTCTAGCCAGGCATTTGTGCCCTCGCTTAAAAAAAGAGATCACGCCGCGTTATTCGCGCCGTTTTACGTCGCCGCGTGCAAATATCGCGACGAGAAGGCCGCTGCGGAAAACGACCTGTGCCAGCTGCGACCTTGACACTAACCTAGCGCAACGGTCGACCACTTAGACCGGGTTACGGCGGAAATACTACGCAAGGATCTCTTCCTCTGCACCGGTAATCTTATCCTGTCGATCCCCGCCGCCTATTCCCGAGGGAATCCTCCCACCACCTATCGCTCACCCAATTTTCTCCCATCTCTCCTTCCTCGCTTCTCCTTTCCTTACTTCGAATATCCTTGATCGCCTTTGTCTCTCGGTACTCCCTTTGTTCTATCGGTGGCTTATTCTCCATCGGCTCGATACGAAGTCGAACCTCATAGTCGAACGCATCGGCCAACGTTCTTCGGAGTTTAGAATCGCGCTGGGAGTTTAGGGATGCCGAATGGTCGCGTGGAATTCGCGATGTCCTCCAAGGACTCGGGAGCTCGCAGCAGCGATAATTCAGAGGTGGCAAGCGCGTGCAAGTATCGGCCTTCGTTCGCGTTAAATTCCTTTTGGCACGTTTTATCGCCATCGCGTTGCTGAATTCCGAAGACCTTAACCTTGCGATATTAATCGTAGATTTACGCGTGTCGCATTTCCTACGCGCGTCTGCACACCTTTCAACGAAGGCACCTTCGTACAAAGTTCAAGGCCTCGTCGAACCGAGCGATTCCGAATCGCTCGTTCGAGCAGAAGACACGGCTACAGCCACTGATTAAATTTTCTTCCCGATCATCGCTGAGCCATGCAAAACTGCAAACAGACGCGGCGGTTCGCGCGGAGAACCACTGTAATTATGCGAACACTCGAATACTCTCTGCAAAACCGGTTATTTCCTTTTTCGAAACGTAACTGCTCTCGATATCGATATCGCGGGGATTATTATTAGTGGAAAAAGGCGACACTGGCGAGAGAAACAGGGAAGATTCGCGTGCCAGGGAAAACTAATTTGCACGCCTAACGGAACAAATTAGATTTTTCCGTGGAGCCACGTGCGTCATTCGTGACTTATTGGGCATCGCGTAGAAAGGATGTCGTTAATTACCGAGCTGGGCTGCCTAAACATGGTGTAACTCGGTGCCTGTAATTATTCGAGTCTTCGTTCGATAATTGCGACGGATCGTAAGATATTCGGGTGCTCGAAAGTTCTCGATTCGAAGATATTCGAGAAGATTGGAAAGAAAATTGCACGCACCTTTAGGGATTCGGGAAGATAGCCAGCAAGGAAGTCCAAGAGTCGAGACAGCTCTTCCTCGGCGAGCAGACGAAAGTTCCGGCCTCGTTCCATCGCTTCGGGGCACTCCATGCTGAAACTAATTACCAAGAGATCATTGGCACGAACTTTCGAACCCCGGTCGGTCTTCACCGCCCATAAAACACGTGACTCTATGTGCCTGCTCGTATCGTGTTCGTCGGAATCACTCGGTATGGAAAAAATTCCTTACACTCGCGCTTCGTTTCGCGAAAACTCGCTACCCCGTCGAAATTCGCTTTCGCGTTTCCAGACCTTTCAACCAACGATATCCCTTAAACGCTCATCGATCGCACCTTCGAGCGATCTTCAACCACTGGGAGATTTCTTGCGCGTGACCTTGAACGATCGACGATCGAGATTAGCGCGATCTTGACACTGAACGACCTTCGAGCCACGACGTCGAGATCGATGCAGAACGATTCGCGATATAACGAGAAGGTGCGGCTACCGGCTGGAAAATATTTCTCGCGGATCTATCGATAACGATAATTTCTCTGTGCGCTCGGTGCCACATTTCCACCGTGGATTTCCGCGAGACGATCGATGGGAAACCGTCAAGGCGGAATGATCGTTTCGACCGCGTCGAGACGTCTCGAGGACGAAAACGGGGTAAATTGGTCCGTGATTAACGGGCATTAAAGCCACGGGTTGACTCTCGTTTCCGCGCTACTTGGCAGATCTGTATCGATAGGACCTTCTATGCGACGATGATTACATAATTGCAGCTACTTTTGAACTTTCAAGCGTTATCCTGTGCTAGACTCGCGAACCGACAGTCCATGTTCGCATTCAAGGCCTGACTTTGACTTATATCGGCAAGTAGAGTGTGTCCGTACCCGGTCAGACTCGTATCCATCGTCGTACGTGTTAATCGTTTCGACCTTCCACGTACCAGCGAAAGAGAGAACCCGTTCGTTAGAAAATGACGAGCGAATATCAGTTTGGTCCAGCAGCGATTGCTCCCGGTGTTCCTGCACGAAAATCGAAGGGGAAATATGAACGGTAACCGCGGAGATCGGTTTCCTCGTCTGAAAGGCTCGCACCGTGATCACGACGCGGAATTTCTTCGCGATCGAGACTCCAGGCTAATACGAGCTTCTTCGAGTTTCATATCCGGGATATTCGAAACACGGAAACGTGGAAACTCGTGGAAACAGTAGGTTGCAGAGTCCTCGAGCCTTGAAAGTTGGATCTCCGGGGAATTTGGAATTCGGAAACTCGAAGACTCGAGAATGGAGAACGTGTTTGAAACCGTGGGCCAGGATTTAAGATATTCGTCGTAATATGGCCCCTGGAGAGTTTCGAAGACCTCGATGGTTAGAGAATTAGTGACTTAAGGCGACTCGATCTTTTCTCTCTATTCGCAGTGATTGGATGAGCCTAAAGCACATTATCTGTCAAGTGTCTACGATTATCTGTGACAGTAACGCGCTTAACTGTGCCAGGTATTGTCAACAAAAGTCTTCGACGGTAATGTAATCTCGGTATTCTTCGTTATTAACCGATAATGGCGGACCTCGAAGACGATAATGCCTTTAAAAACAATGTATTCGGGTCCCGCGTTAACGCGGACCGTTATTGCGATAAATAACGTGACAGGGAACGGACGTTGATTGAAATTAAGACAAGTCATCTCCCCTCTCTCTCCCTCTCTCCTTCTCTCTAAAATTTCTTTGCTTAGAGATTTATTTTATCGACGAGAGCTTTCACATGGGATTAAATTTAGCCCCGACTGAATAAACATTTAACTTTTGTAACTTCCTTTTATCGAGAATTTTTGTTGACAAATCGATGCTCGTGTTACGAAAGTACTTCGGGCGGAATGTCAGAGTAAACTGAATTCATCAAAAACAAACTATTAAAATTTCCAACCACGTTGTAACCTTTACCGTGGAAGATTAATTGCTGTTTAATCGATGAACCGAAAATACATACGGACAATATCGATTAAAGGCACGTATAAACATCGTGGTGCGACATCGGAAAATCGCACTAAAGCATTGAATTTTTATCGAGTTCTCTACGGACGAACTCGTTTTTAGGGCTGATCGATTATTCCCAACGCGAAATTGATTTTCCATGATCTCCAGTTTCTCGGTAAGTCGGATAAATCGGAAAGTAACATACCTGTTAGTAGGACTCGATTGCTGTCGGGATTGATACAAGTATTAGTCACGCAGTATCATAGCAGCGATATTTTTAGTAAGTGGTCGTGGGAAACCTATCGCACGGTTAAACAGTTCAATGAGGACGAGACAATAAAGTGCCTGAAAAAATAACCCCACCGAGAGAAGTTAAGTTAACAGGATTATCCCTTATGACCCGTGAAATCGTTGGAACGGTAGAGAGAATAATTCTTTTGAACTCACTGCCCGTGTCTCGTTTCTTCCCGCTTCTGAAGCGAGAACATTTTTGCCCAGATATCTCCGCGGATTTATCGTTGGCAATTTATTACCGTAACTGGCCCTTCGCGCCGCATATCTGTATACCAACGACTATTGTTTTCGTAGGGAAATCGAACACGTTACGATCGAGTCTCGTATTCGTTTAGAGGCGTCAGGATATTTCTAAATAGATTGGAGAGAAAGGCACGCACAAGTAACTGCTCGATAACCGTAGTAAAGTCCGATGCAAATTGAAACGTAGCACACTCACAGCATCCCTGGCTGCGTACAAAGGATCTTCGTTTATCGACGAGCAAGCAACGAATACCTACTTGCAGCGACTACTGCGGAGAATCACGCCAGTGTCACGATAACGTCACAACAGGAAGCACTATGTGATCCGAATCGCTCGACGCGCAACAAACAAGAGCTTCTAGAGACACACCACCGCCAGAAGATCGCTTCGAAGCAGCTCGTCGTCGACCCAGGGTGCCGATTTATCGCGAATACGTATTCATTCCCCGACGAACACTACCATTACGCTTCTTCGATTTACCTGAGTAAACGTGTCGCGTGACCCTTGTTCCAGTAAGTCGAGAAACGGTCACCGCGATCGACGGACGTTCGATTGTCGAAATAAAGGAGAATTACGCGGCGTGAAATCGGCCGGTGGTGAGAATGGTTGCGGGCTGTTGTCAAGGGGTAGTTCCAACGGAGGCACCCGCCCTCGCCGCCCCCTGAACCCGCACTGCCGCCCCTGGGTCACCGTTACCCTCCTTGCACCGAACACCGTCGTGCTAGTCTCAGCGCAGGCGCTCTTTTTCTCCAATGCCGTAACATTAACCTTTAGTACCCCACGCTGCGGTATCTCGAAGCAAATCGAATTGAATAAGAAAGTTGAATCGAAATCATGCAAACTGATTTACACAGACTTTTCTCGTCGATATTATCATTTATATTCTAAGCTACTTACCTCTCGGCACTTCGTACTGCATGAAAATAGGAACGTTTAGAAATTGTTCTCCGTACACAGGTATCATTTCCATTTTTATCAAAGGTTATTACCAAAAAACGCTCATTTATTTTACGAATATATAAACGTACCAATAGACTAAGCGTCTAAAAGATCAGTTATATCTCACACGTGGAAATCGATATTTTTGCCTGTATATCGATATATATATATATATATATATATACCGAAACGTAACCAAGCAGTTATCAAGCAGTTTCTCCTTGGTATGCTTAGCACGCAATTTACATCCAGAGAAACGTACCGCCTTTTCCCCTCGTTTCTTCGACCCTTCACCTACCCCCTCTCCGCGCACACCACCCGCAACCCTTCAAGCACCGCATTTTACTCGAGGTTACTGATGCAACGCGCTCAGCGTTCGAAGGGTGATGCGCTTACGGTACACAGTCGCACTGTGTAATTACACGATCTCGTGAATCGAATGTACATAAAAATTAAAAAAAAAAAAAAAAAAAAAAAAAAAAAAAAAAAAAAAAAAAAAAAAAAAGATACAAACAAAGAACAATTGTAGTTTGATTAAAGTGTACTCGTGCATTCCTTTTATTACTTTTTTGTTTACGATAATTTTCACGTTTTATAATGGACCGTAATAAGCAAAAAATTTCACTGCATTTCAATGCTATATTTTTGAAACCCACAATTTCATTGGTGGCATTTTAATAATATTTACGTATCATCATAATTTAAATAAAAGTGAAATTAAGCTGCAACACGATATTTATGTTAAAAAAAAATGTCACGTTATCATGCTTCTCTATGAACCCTCGCGATCGTACGGTACTGCGTCCAACGTCGCGGCGCAGGAAAGCACAGCTTCCACCGCCTCTTCATTTTCGCAGATCGATCCGACCGACTGACAAGAAGCGTAATCGAAAATCTCGAGGTTAAAGTTGCCTGTGCTACTGAGGCATACTAGAAGTGCGCGTGAGGCATGCCAGAAAATTAGAACATTAACTAATTAGTTTCGTGTGATAAATTTCTGACTGAGTGTGTTTTTTCGACCACGAGTCGAATGTTGGTCTAAAAACGTAATCAGTGCACGACACGCGATACACTTGATTTTATGAAATTTCGTATGGAAAATATTAGTCTCATATTCGTCTTATCACGTGAAACCAAAGGTCGGGCAACAATGCTCGTATACAATTTTATTCCCTCGCTTGCATGACTGTTGGACCTTGGGTAATTCAACCAAGTATATTAACGAAACAATAGAACCTTCTGCTATTATACCGATACAGAAAGTGTCAAAATAGTACCGAACTTAAGAATTTAGTTCGTTTTATTTTCGAAAAAAGACATGTCATTAAGAAGACCCATTCCAGTGAACTCAAAACATGCTTTTTTCTTTCCCAAGATCGTGCCACATTTTCTTTATCGATAGCGAAGCGAGAAAAAGAAAAAGAATTGGATGATATTTTGAACGCAAGTATAGGTGTACGTACAATCGTTGGTTGATATGTGGACAAGCTGGTTTGGCGCAGGTAGTCTATTTCGTAACTAACTTCTTTAGTTCTTCATGTTATAATTTTATTACAATTTGTTAGAATCGAATTCTTTTTTTATTCCTATTCGATAACACGTAACGATAAATAAATCAAGTTTTTAAATATTCCCTCGAAATGTAATCATCCCTTCCATAAACGGACGCGCATGCATCTTGAGCTTAAAGCGCGTTATCAAATATTAATAGACGCATAACCTATATATACTTACATTCGCTTCTTTTAATAAAAAGTATCGAATATAATAAATGAGAACGAAGTTAGTTTCTTAAATTATCATCGATGACACCATTTAATTAAAAGTTAAGTATAATCGATCACTGAAGAAGAAATTGAAAAAAATTGTTCAATGTGTAAAATATTTCAAGATATTTAATCTCTATACAACATGCGTAATATATCTTATTATATATCCTATTTGTATAGTATATAAACAAATTGTATTTAAAATGTTTACAGACCTGTATAGCATATAAATAAACTGTATTTTGAAATATTTACAAACAATGTATTACGTAATAATAGTTCATCCGATATCAATAAATGGATTTTATATATTTAAAGTATTAAAAAATAAACTGCATATTTTTCAAAATATTAATATGACAAAAATACTTTCAGTATTCCCATTCGGTCAAAATTATCAATCGGTCAATCAATCGTGTTTCGTTCGTAGACTTCATTGAGGAAAATGGTATACAATTAATAAATTGATGTGAAATAAATCGTTAAAGGCGATAATCGAAATATACAACTTACTTGCACGAGATAATATTATTAAACAAAATTGATTTTTTTTTTATTTTCGCGAATAATACATTATAAAAATTCATATTTAGAAATTATTTACATACAAGAAACAATACATGTCTTGTATCCGTTTTTATAGATTATATTCACAAAGTGAGTATGTCCAGAAGAAAGCTCTGCGGTGACAGACAATTTAACAACGTGGATTATACACAGCTTACAGAAACTGATAGTGGCTTTGTTGATTCCCAGGTTGGGTATTATTATTCTGTATATATTTTATTCTTTAACTACTTGTCTATTTCATGATTATATATATGCATTTGTTAAAAGTACTCAAGGATTTTGTTCAATTAAATTCATAATAATACAAAGTCAAACATTGCTAATTAAATACATGTATTTTTAATAGTTTGTGAATCCACCAGTCAAAATACCATGGAAAGCTATTACATTGGCAGCGCTCCTTTTTGTTGGAGGCACTGTTATGTTAATCATAGGTAGTCTAATTGTGAGTGGACATATAGATTCAAAGGTAAGGTACTCTAAAAATATTTCTATTATATTTTAAGGATGAAAGATATGTAATGTAATTGCTATTATATTTCGGTATATTAAAAAAGTTATCTCCATTCTTACCTATGCATGGATACATTATTTGTAGTAGCAATCCAATTTGATGTGTATTTAATCGTTATTTTATCTTTTACAGTATTCAGACCGTATGTGGCCAGTTATTATCTTAGGTATTCTAATGTTTATACCAGGTGCTTATCATATGAGAGTAGCCATTTTAGCCTATCAACAAGTACCAGGCTACTCATTCGATGATATACCAGAGTTTGATTAATCAGATACAACTTTTTTTTACAAAATAATAATTAGAAATTAAACATTTTTATTAGTACATTAAGTATTTAGTTTACATTAAATTATCTTGTATAATCTATAGATATATTTTACTTCAAACATAGAAACATCTAGATCTTAGTACAACAGTATGATGAAGTATATAAAGTATATAAAAATTATTAACGATATCAAAAGCTTATTATATTATAATGCATGTTATTTTTATATAATTATCATATACTTTCAAAAAGAACACAAATCTATAAATGTACATATTCCGCTATTACATAATTACATTGCACTACTGATATGTATGGTTTTATCATATAATATGTTTTATCCTATTAAAACATATGCAACTTAGAAATATTAAACTCATTTTAGAATATGTAATGAATTATTATTGTATAATGTTATAATAATAATGATTAAATTTGTCTATCTTGTAAATCAAACTAGAAAATCAAAAAATAAAAAATCAGTCTCTCGTATAAAAATCTAAAAGTCCATCAATTCAAAGTTATACACTTACATAAAAAGTATAATTTCGTTTTCATTGCTTCTCGTTAAATTAAATATAAGTACGATCAAAAAGCATAAACAGGAATGCAAGATCAAATTATATACAATGTTTACATCTTAAATATTGTAAAATACTTACACTACTTAATTTGCATATTCTGTCTGTCCTATTGTTTATTATTAAAATGCGTGGATTAAATTGGTTTTGCAATACAGTTTTCATTAAAATTTTACTTTCTTCAATTTTTATATCATATTGTTGATTCATTTCTTTATTACATATAGGTTTCTTATTTAAAAGAATATTCTGTAAAAAATTTATTTAATTAATCAAATTAATGAATTTTCATCATAAATATTATAGTAGGTATGACTTACTTCAAAAATAAGATAAATAGAAAATTTTCTTGGATTAATGTGATCAAGTGCATGTCCAATATTTGATGAAAGTTGTTCCATCAAATCCAGTATTGCAAGATACATTTCTTCCTTTGTCCAATCACAATTTATGATGAGATACATCGTTGGATGAAACTGATCTCAAAAAAATGATGCGGATAACATATGTATTGATATTTTTATAAATTAAAGATTATACCTTTATTTTCTTGTTTTATAACTTACCTGTACTCTAGAATATATTCCCAAATTAATTGCAGTTTGATATAAGTGTTTAGCCAAAGTCATATCAATATGAACTAATTTAGCAATCAGTGCTCGATAAGTAACAATTTTTATTACAAAATTATACTTAACAATTAATTTTGTGATACTTATAATTAAGTTATGGTCTTCTTTTAACAATAGCACTGGTATTATTTTATTTGCAAAATTCGTAAGATCTGGAAAAGATAACGTGTACTTAGAAATTTATACTTCTTATGTACTTATATATCCCCTATTAAATTTACGAACAAAAATTAAGACACAGTTATACAGAGTTTATCTTCTTACCTATTGGATAAAAATTGCTGTATTGATCTACAATTAAAAATTCAAAAAGGAAAAGTGCATATTCTGGAAATATCTCACAAAGTGCATTGAACAAAATGATTATTATTTGCACTCTAGCAGAACTGTCTTTTACAGTACAATGTACATTCCATTTATGACGATCTGTGTAAATAATGTTTGTTTCTGAAAACAGTAAATTATGCAAAGATATTTATAATTAACTGTTACTGTTATTTTACATCTATCAAAAAGTACATCAACAAAATCAAACGGTTAACTCACGTTTAAGCAATGTATAAGCTTTTATTGCCTGTTGATTTGCTAAATATATTTCAACAAAGAGCATAACAGTTGCAGCATCAAACTGATATGAATGAATCTGTGGTTGCAGCATGACATAAATGTCTTTAAGTAATATATATGCAAACACCCAGAGATTTTTTTCAGCTAATTGAGCCAAAATGCATTTGGAAACATTAAGTAATATTTGATAAGATATAGCAGTTGCTCCAATTTGCACTGCAATGTCCAAAGAAAGAAATTAGGAGTATTTCTAAATAAATATTAACATTTCATGATAGTGTCTTTATTTTATTTATTTAAATATTAATACAACAATAATATTAAAAAATTAATGCTTATTACATACTTTATTGCATAGTTTTTAAGAAGAATTTCTATAAAAATACAAGAAAACTTACATCACCATAAAAGAAAATAAAACATTCATGTATATCTTGCATTTATAACTTAAAATAAAATAATAAACCTTATATTTCAACTAAAATCTAGTATTGTTTAAAAATGTTATAATCTATGTTTATAAATGTTATATACTTAAATAACGATTACAGTAATTATTTAAACAAATCTTTTTTATTTATATATACTATTTCATGTTAAAACTTTTAATTGGATGTTAAAATATAAAATAGAAATGAACATATAACATAGATATAATACATATAGCAAATATATAAATTATTTTTAAAAGAACAATGCTTTTAATAAGTACAAAGTTTTATTAAATTATTTATTACCTGAATGTGAAATCAGTTTATTCAAATGATACTGGGAATATTTTATTTCATTGCATAAAATTCTGTAACATGCACGAGTAAAAAATGATTGCTGATATTTTTTCACAGAATTAAGAATGTTCATAACATAATCGTAATCATTATGTTTAAGTCCTTCTTGAAGACTATTGACATATACATAAAACTTCCAAAATTTTTCTCTACCATGTGCAGAATGTGGTTCTGGTACATTGTCTAAAAATCACATAAAGTTACTTATGTGATACTGTATGTAAAGGCATAGAAATTATATTAAAAAATAAAAGTATTATTTCGATATCATTTTATTTACCTATTCGATGTAATGGAAAAGAAGAATTTTCATTTTGTACGTCATTATTATTGTTTGTCTCATTTCTTTTCTGAATTATATCTTCCTCATTATCTGACTCATCTTTTGCAAGACATGAGTCCGGTGAATTAATCTCTTTATCGAACTGTGATTTTCTTTCTTCTGTTTCTAGGCTTGCTTCTTTATGCTCAGTCAAATTTTTAAAAGACGATAATAGCTTGTGATCTATCTGAGAACAAATCTGACTGCATAGATTGCTCATAATATTTATATTTATATCCTCAATATGTGATTTTGTGATTGTACATTCTTGTAGAATTGTTTCCACGATTTCTGCTTCCAGATTTTTTATACTGAGCAATAAATCTTTAAATGTTGTCCAATATTGACCATGCACAATATACCTTTTTAATATTTTTAAAATCCAATTTACGAATTTGAAATCATCATTGGTTACAATTCCTGCTAATTTACTCGTTATTGATTTAATAGTATACCCAACATTTCGCATTTGTTTAATGATGTTGAATACTGTTTTGTTATTTATAATTTTTAACTCAAATAATTTTTTAAACACTTTTAGTACGCAATTGATGTCATAATGACGTATCAAACTTTGGTAGAACTTTCTTATAAAACATATATATCTTTTTGATGCTAATGCATTCAATATACTAAAAAAATATTGCTCATCATTTGTATAATATCGAATCATGCGTGATAAAAACTGTAAAATATGAAAATCTGTACTATTTCATGATTAAAATATATCAATATTGTAGTTCTTAGAAAAAAAATATTAAATAAAATATTATCATTTACGTACATTGTGATTATAAGGACATTTTCCTTTACAACAATAACCTACGTTTATAAATTTATAGCAATAACCTGGAAATACAGATCTAAATATATGATATTTGGACATTACTTTTGGTTTCTTGGTTCTTGAAATTATTGCACAGTGAAGAGGATTTTTTGGTTTCTCAACAGCTGCTATGATTTTTTCTGAATTTGATAATTTTGTAATTTTTTTTAAAACCTTATTTTCATTTATATTATTATATATTTGACTGAAATCAGATGCTGTATTTTTGTAATAATTTTCAAACACATCATCAGTCATATTAAATAGCATTTCAGAATGCGAAGAATTATTTGATGCATATTCATCATACCTGTAAAATTCAGTTATTTTTAAATATTAAAGGTAAGTAGTAATAAGTAGTAATAAATAAATTAAAAAGTATTTTTCTAAAATTATAATTACTCTTCCATGAGAGCTGAATCTGCAAATAAAGATATATAGTCACTGTTATCTATATCATCAATTATTTTTTTTTCACTGAACTTTCCTTTAGTGGAAAGAAAAGGGTGATTTTCCACAGATGACTTATGGATTATTGCAGACTCACATTCTTTTATATTCTGCTGAAAATTGTAATCTTGTTTATTCATATCTCTTAAACTTTCAATTTGATTATTTTTCGCGGAAGTTGAATGAAATGTTGATGAAATATTGTTTTTGTTTTTTAATTGAACATTTTCATCAGCTTGTGCAACAGTATTTAGTTCACTAGTATTTAAAATTATATCCTGAGATAATACTTGTTTAGCATTTAATTCAGATTTACTGTCCGGTAATTGATGCACTGTATCTAACTTTAATTTTTTCCTAGTATTATTATTAGTATCCAGACCAGAGTTCGTACGTTTTTGACTTAATAAATCTATATTTTTACATAAATTCTTATTTGTAGCATGTATTGTATTATTTTTTTCTTCTCTGTCTTCTTCTGCGGATTTAAAAATATGTGCAAATGCAATATTTCTATCGTGATTTTCAATAGCAAGTGCACTCTTACAATCTTCAAGTAACGAGTTATCATTATTTATATTATTCTGCAAAATTACTAAATTATTTACTTTCGTTGATTCTTCAATGACATTATTCAAATTTTCCTTTGTTATTTGTAATTCTAAATTATCTGTATATTCCAGATCATTCTCCTTTACTAAAGAATTACTTCTAGAATTTAAATTTACTTTTTGTAAACTAGCTTCGTTATTTATCAATTGATCTTTGTTAGATGTCGTATCTTGTACTGCTTGTCTTTTCAATATTAAATTTTGTTTATCAGGCAAGAAACACTTATTAGATGTATCTTCTTCATGGGAGGATACCTTTAACTCATAATCATTTTGTGGATTTTCCAATAAATTCTTCGTACTTAATATCTTAGATTTGTTATTGTCACATAAAGAAATTTTGTCTAAACAATCATCTAACTTTTTAGTAATCTTTAATGCTTTAGCTTTCTGAGTCTTATCTAAAATATTTAAACATCAATGAGATTAAAATTATAATTATACCGAGAAAAAATTGTAATACATGTAGAAGATACAAGATTATAACACTTACCATTGCTTTCTTTACAGGAGTTAGAATTGTTTTTACCTATAATCATTAGACTGTCTTTTTTAAAAAAGTCATCACTTTTATTTGCTTTACAAATGCAATCAACTACAGATACTTTTAAATCCTTATGTAATTTTTTTATTATATTTTCAGCTACTTTAATTCTTTTGTTATTAGCTTTTGATTTAATCGATTGATCTTTTTTATTGTGTCTTTGCTTTTTTATCTTAGAAGTGTCATTAGATTTATTGATCAATATTGAATTCTTAAATAGATGATTTTTAGAACATATATTAATGTGACCTCTTTTATTATTTGATCTTCTTAGTTTATTGTTTGTAATTCTGTATTGTAGTGGAATATTATGCATCAATGATATATCATTCAATATATTTCTTTGCAACAAACAATCTTCTAAAACAATAATTGGTTTCTTTAAACCCAAGACATTGTTGTATTTATTTTTTCTGCTTGATATATTTTTATCACTTTGAGATACATCTTTCTCTTCTTCTTTATGGCATTTGTTAGAACATCTATTAGAACTTTTCCTTAGGTAACGAATATCCATTTTCCCTTTGCCGTATTTCTTATCGTATCGCAAATTGTTCAATCTTTGACGTTTATATTTAACAAATCGTTACTTTAATGACACAAATATGAATCAAACTGAAAATGTTATTATAATATGTTTTTTTGAAAGAATGTTATTAAATTTTTTATAACATAAACATTCGTAACATGTAATGCGTATTAGACATCGAATATACCTTTGCACGGAAGATGCAATGTAGTACGTAAAATATATAGTAAATATATGATTATACTGACTATCTTTTTCAAGGAAAAATAGGCGAATAAGCTATATTCACTTGTTTTCTTAAAACAAATTGTAAACACTATACAATTTAATCCACGTGAAAAACACGTGCTTATACGCTTCACTTGCTTTCACATGTCACCGCGAAAATATTCAAGTACAAAGCTAACTAGCGAGAATCGCAAGCTACAGTCAATGTATCGATACTAACATGGATAAATCTTTCAATTGTTCGTAACACTTTAAAATTTTAAATAAAGAATACGAATATAACGTATATTAAGAATACTTATTATCAAAATAAACTTCTTGATCTCTTTTATTAGTTTTTCTGCAATAAATTCTTTTTGTAAATATTTCTAAATTTCTCTTTTAGATATGATATATTTATTCAGCAATTTCGTTGTTTTATCGCAAGTCAGCAAAATTAACGTTCAGTAAAGTAATTCAGTACCTATTACAACCAAATTGAAAACTGAAATGGTAAAAGCTAGGTGTTTCAGGACTATATAAAGCCTCAAGCGTTTACTGCGACAGAGGTTCTCTGTTTCATTCAACGCATTTACTTCGAACAAAACTTCGTGCCAGTTACTGCTAGTAAAAGTGAAAAATATTATTATACAACAGAAAATGAGATTATTACCTGTCCTTCTTATAATTACTAATCTATCATAAGATAAAATTACCTCATTTAATGTAAACCTTTTAAGATTTGTCAAAGTCTTTTGATTTCTTTTTCAAACTGAGAACCTTAAACACAAGGTATATTATGGCTTTTTAAAGAGAACCATCGAGCAAACAATATTCATAACACAAGTCGCAAGTAAAATTATAAAGCGTTACTGATAACAAAATTAACGATATCATTAAATATAAGTATGTATATTGGATAAAAGGAAAAAATAATTTTTTAATTATATCGGAAGTGAAATACGGTGTTGCTCACTTCAATGCCCGAAGTTTTCGACACGCTAAAGTCTGTTGTTATCTCCACAATTTAGATAAACTAACAGGTGAAACATCGATCTTTCTCCATTCTTTTAAAGTACTCATATTCGTTCCTTTTCCTGCTTTCATCTAAATTCAAGGAAATTATCTGCCAATATAAGCGTCCGATTTTAGTACCGATTTCGGCGATCGAAACTGGGCCCCATTGTATACCGTTTTCAATTAGGGTTGTAGTAGAAATTTCGAAACTCAAAAGAATAGTGCATAATTTGTTATTATTAATGCATAAAAGTTTCATCGTCAGTTTTCAACACACGTAGTACAAATAAATGAAAATTTATATGATGTTCAAATAAAGATACAAGATATTTCTAAGTTATACTTTAATACGAATCATGTAAACGAAATATTACACAAGTCAGCCATTAGAACGTTGAATTGCAGTGAAAAAACAAATGTGGACGTGTCTAGCAGGTGTGAGTAATTTCAACTAAAGAAGAAAATTAAAGATAATTAAAGATAACTTAAAATAAGCGTGAAGGGTTTGGAATTACAATGCATCGAGCCATTTCTATGGCGTGTCTGGGAGGATTCATGGGGGTGACGTGGTCATAAAAAATTTCATTTGCTAAACACGTGCGAAGCGCCCGTTCATAGAAGTTTTCAACTGAATATAATTTTATAACCAACATAATTTAACATGAAGGTTAATCTCAACCATTCGTTTTAACTTTTTAGAAAGTGCTTTAATCCTATTGCATTTAACATACTTCTATTACACTTTTCGTATATAATGTTAAAAAATAACGAATAGGGAATAACGAAGAACTACTTGAAACTAGACAAGTTATTTAAAAATCGAAGAAAATTTTGTTTATTTTTAATATTAAAAAAGATTATCGTTCGAAAGCTAGATTTTATATACGTTATTATTTCAAGAGTGACATAATAAGCAATACAGCAGTCTCTTCGCAGAAAGACGACATTGATTTCTATCCGTACAAAGTTCTAAAATAGTTAAGAAACCAATCAGTCTGTTGGAGGTTGATAAACGGTATTATCCAAATTATTAAATGCCATTTGTTCATCGATCCAATCACGTGCGAGTGCAACGTTGGCGTAAACACTTGGAATTTTGTCCTGACCGCAACCAATTCCCCATGCTACAATACCTGCTTGCATATATATTGCAGGATCGTTTTTACTTGGACATACAAGTGGACTTCCCCCATCACCCTAAAAATATCATTTGTTTATTTTCGTTACGTAGCTGGTATATACAGATTTCTACAATATCGAATTTATAATAGATTTAATTTACCGTGCAAGTATCTTTGTTAGCCTCTCCACCAGCGCATATAAAGCTTTCGTCAAGAATAAAGTATTTTCCTAATCTAGTAGTTCGAAGTCTATCCTGACATCGATCACGTGGCACTACCGGCAACTCTATCTTTTTCAAGATTACCTGGTATTGTCCCTCCTTACCTGTAAGACAAATAACCTTTCAATTAAGAATTTCAAAAGAATTACTTTATTATATTATTACTTTATCACTTGTAATTATTTTAATCGACAAACTCAATGGTCAACATTCTTACCAAATATGTCTTTTCCCCAACCAGTAGCGAAGCATTGCGAACCATCAAATACAGTGTTTCGTTCTGGTAGGCAAATGACATCCACGTGATCCGCAAGGTTTACTGGCTCAGACAAAATCAAAATGGCAAAATCGTTGCGAAGGGTAACAGAAGAAAATTTGTCATGAACTATCACACTTTGCACATTGCGATCCTGATGAGGTATCTCTTCAGTGCTAGTCTCGATATTCCATTCTCCTACGCGAATTTGTAATTTGTCCGGTTCTTTTCTGTCGAAAGATTGTTATTTAGTGTGTTAGCGATAGTAAAGCAAACCGCTATTCACGTGAAGTATATGAGGATATTCAATTATTTACCCTATTACACAATGAGCAGCAGTTAAAACAGCCCGCTTATGAATTAAAGAACCTCCGCATGTATAATAATTCGGTGAATTATTATCCACACCGGAGAGTTCTTTCGTCAGTATGAGCACCATCCATGGGAATTCACCGAACTCAGCTTCTCTGTTAGTGAAAGATTTCAAATCAAACATAACCCTTTTTCTTCCACAACTGCTGCTCGTAAGTGATTTTGTCTGCGGAGGCTTACAGCAAACGTGCGAGATATTCGGACACTCACGGCTCGATCTATATCATTCATAACATTAAAGTAGAAGATAAATACGATATGACAGATTAGATATACTTGAATTGGTTATGTGTAACTAAGAACCAGAAACAGTATTTGAATAATGAAAATATGATAGAAAATGGCGTGTGATCTCCGTTCGATCAACGAATTAGTGGTCACAAAACACCTGAAGAAATACCTGAATCCCGCATATTTGTTAGATAACAAATCATCATACACGCAGTATAAACCTTGCTCCTTGTATATCTAACAATACATGTTACATAAGGACGAGTTTTGATATGGATAATGACAACCCACTATTACAAAGGATCGTAACCTTTGTCATTCTGAGACCAGTCTTTCGGAACTTACTTTTTCATCTTAAAGTCAATCAGCCCTCCACCGTTAGATATTATATGCCCCTCTTTGCACTGATAATATGGGACGCACTCACAATTTACTGCCGCAGTTAGAGAAAATCTAACTATCGTCAGTGTTAACAATATTCTCCACATCACGATGTTGGAGGTACTGAAAAATATCATTCTCGGGGTTAGACAAGTGGGGCTTTGAAATTTTAAGAGATTGGAAGGTGTAAGGTATCGGAGGTGACAGTTTTTCTGTCAATCCTGGATTAATCAATATTGTGGTATCGCGGGATGAGTGGGTCGAGCGTATTATCTGGAGTGCGTGCGAAAGGACGAATGACCGTGCGCTAGGATCGTGTAGACGGGATGTTTATGAATGTATCGGTTGAAAGTGAAGAGTCTCTCTAGGAATGCGTTTGAGTGTTAGGGCTACGTGACCCGCTGAGGGCAAGGCTGCAAGGGAAAAGCGTGATTGGGAAAGAGAGAATAGGTATGAAAGAGGATAGAGCGTGTTGAGTGCTACGTCAGTCCCTAGGGATTGACAGTAGACTTTTCGTTTGGACGGCGTGGATTCTAGGGACTGACAGCGAACTTTTCGTTTGGTCGACATCGGTGCGTAAGGCTGGCATTGCCAAGGCATTATCAATGACAATTAACCCTTTGCACTCGAGAGGTGACTCTCACTCACCACATGGCTTGATGCCACAACTCGAGAGGTGACTCTCGCTCACCACTCGGTTTGACGCGGAAACTCGATGCGCGACAATGACTGTTTACGTTCAATTCTTTTGAAGTTGGTTCCTACACTGTATATTCTTATCAAGTGGGAAATGACACCTCTTCAAATGGAGATGAGATTTTCTTATCTGAAATTAGTCCGCAACCACGAACCGGACTACATTTTCGGCATTAGTTCGAAGTTGACAGTCGTGGCAAAAGTAGTACCAAGGTTAAAGTTTTTCATCCCTGTAAGCATGGAATGTAGTAATGAAATAAGCTGAAGTGAGGATGAGCTTGATTTAACGTTGCTTAACGAGGACATTACATCTATACACAAAGAGCTTGCCGATAAAGAGAATAACAGCAGTGCTGATGATAGTGACGAAGTAAGAGGTGTAAGAAATTTGTTTAATAAATTCATATATGTGCGAATGAAATATAAGGACAGCCTGGAAAGAATGATAAGTATGTTTGGGCTTGGAAAGAAAGTGACCGCGTGCAAGAGGATCGAATGTAAGGGATGTTTATGACAGAGCCGAATGCGATAAACGAGTGGAAGTCTATGAATGCGCCTGAGTGTTTAGGATACGTGACCGACCGATTGAGAAAAAGAACGAGGGTATAGACGAGGACAGAATGAATGGTTTAAGTAAGGGTACAAGGGCGCGGGCAAGACAGTCTCTAGCGATTTTTTAACAGTCCTTCACGGTCTCCAAGAGTCTAAGAGTTTCTAATAGTGTGTCAGTACATCTAGTTTCGTAGCCGATAATATAAATATAAGCTCGCTGTATTTTATTAAGAAAGAAAGCAACATTACTTTAGCCTATCCCACAACGCCAGTCCTGCATATATTCTATATAAAACGACTAAACAACAGAGAAGAGAACAGCCGCCTAATCACTTGCGGGATGTGAAAAATTTAGTTCGCCATGTGACTGGAGATTTTTGCCAGCCACGTGATCGAGCCTCGACTTCAAACTCCGATCCCGAAGACATCCGCTTGAATGGAAAGCTGCATAACATTTTAACAGGAGTTAGGAAGGATTGTAAAGTCTGTTCTAAAAGAAATAAGTCCGGCAAAAGACACCAAACGACGTATCATTGTGATACTTACCTTGACAAGCCGGGCATACATCTTGGCACTTGTTATATAAAATATCATACACAGCAAAATTACGGGGACTAATATTTAACAAATTATGTCCATGAAGGTGTAAATATGTATAAAATGTTAAAATAAAAACGTTTCATTCATTGATTAGTGTGTGTAATGTTGTATTCCAAATATATCTTTATTTTTGTTACAACTAACAGACCAACTTTGAGTGTAACAATAATGCGGCCGAGTACGTACCAGATCAGATCTTTTAGCGAACGTGACTCCAATTTATTACTAGGCGGAAGACTAACTGGGCATTTGGGATGATGGGCAATATTTATATGTGAATTAGGAAATAAGAAGGGGTTGTCCACAGATCGGAGATCAAGAAAGCATGATGCAGGGAAGGTCGGAGTTCGAGTGAGCAATAGGGCGATAAGGATGAGTAAGGGATAAAAAGGGAAAGTTGTCGGTCTGGAGTTTCTCTTATGCACATAGGTCAATATCTATAGATGACTAAACAGTCCTCCAACAGTAATCATTTTAAGTTAGGGGTACGGAACACGCCAAAAATGCTGCGATGCGTTTCGAGTTACTGGTTCGTCCGCGTGTAAAAGGCCTCGTGTGCAAAGGGTTAATATATTGTAAAAATTTCATTCCCTCTGCTGAAGTAAATCGTTACACTTTCGTGGCTTTTCCGTGGCTGATCGTCTCTTGGTGATCGCCTTTTTGCCTTTCTGGCATTCCCCATCTCGTTATCTTCTGTTTATAATTTCCACATTTGTGCATTGGCTGTACCATTCTCACAGTTCAAAAGACAAAGTGAAACAAAGTGAAACAAAGTAATCTTCTGCTCACACTCTTCAGTATACTTGAGCGCTCGGCATCAAGTGCACACTCGCTGCCACCTGAGCGGAAAGTATAGCAAAATCGGCGCCGCACTCAACGTGTTAAATAGGGATGCAAGGGCGTGAAGCGGGTAGTTCGTAGTAGAGTTGTTAGAAAAGAGTTGTGAAGAAAGAAGTTGTTAGTCGTCTAGTTGTGTTTCACTTGTAACACTTGTAATTGTGTTGTAATCTTAAGTTGTAGTAGTAATAGTAGTAGTTGTTAGAAATTCGTAGCCTGATCGTCACCACACATTGCTAATTTAATCCATTATTATTCGTTATTTAATAAATAGAGACTACTTTTTACCATCTACCCAAGTGTCTCTACAATATTGTTATCCTTAGGCCTCGGCACTAATGTCAATGATGTATTAATCGCAAGATAATTTCTTTTTATCGCAATCGAAATTTTCTAAAAAGAGTAAAACATGCATTATAAATGACGTCCCTCGAAAGGAAAGATAACTTAAAGTTGATCATGACGTCTTTCTAATCTCGTACTAATCGCAAACATAAGCAACTCGTCCTATCTCCGCAATCGTATCGTATCGAGAATGCTTGAACCTGACCTGTTTCGCGGAATAGTTGGCACGATCATGAAGCCGATGCATTCATACGATCATACGCTTGTAAATTTTCTTCGATTCCGTTACATCGTTTCCTGTGAACGAATTCTACGACGAATCAACCCTGAATGGCCATGCAGATTGACGTATAAATATAAAAGAACAAACTAAGGAATTAGATGATGCTTGATGTATCACGTTCGAGTCATAAATCACGAACGAATCGGGAAATTAACTGTAAAGGATGATTTTACGAAACGTAGTTGAATCGTAATAAATAACACGTTTCATGGAAACCGGCATTAAAAGTAGTTAAAGACTTTTCAGAATTCCAATGAAAGAACGATTAGTATTGAACTTTATTTTTTTATTATTACTGAACTTTTATTTTTATTATTAGTATCTTTGTCGATACTGATATACTTGTCATGTATATGTAGGATACCAAAAGAAATCGCGAATCGGCTATTGCCAAGAAAAACAAATTGTAAACCGATCGATATCTTCTAGAAGCAAATCGAAAAGTTATACTATGTAACAAAATTAAGTTACTCGACTCCTTTACGGGGTGGTGAAGCGTAGGTTAAGGAAAGCATAAAAGCGTGGTCCTTGACGAGCAAAACAGAGTCCTTAGAAATCAGTTGTGACGAGCACAAGCGTGAGTCGTTCGGTGTTGGAAAGAGAGTTTTAAAAGAGTGCGTCTTTGTGTGTTTTCGTTATTTTGGTGTTCTTTCCCTAAGTTAAATCAGTTTACGAGTTTTGAGTTTGTGTTATTGCGTTCTTTTGTTCTTTCGCGAATTTTCCGTGTCTCAAGACCAGTTTCGCCATCCTACATACAGTGTTGGACAAAGGTATTGGCACAGCATGGTTGTCGTGGTACAAGTGCTTATAACTACTAAACAAATTGATTTGAAGGAAAAACTTTTTGACATATTCATTTATTATCTATTCTAGTTGTAGTACATAGTAGAAGCAATAATTTAAATACATTGCTTCACGAAATAATTACAAAAATGCATTTATCAAACATTGTATGGGTGGACAAAAGTATTGGCACACTCGAACAAAAACGTTTAAAAATGACTTGAAATTAAATATTAATATTTAGTTGAGCCTCCTTTTCTTTTAAGAACTTCTATTAATCGTTTGGGCATTGAATCAACTATCTTGTTTGTAAAATCCGACTCGATTTTATTCCATACTTGTAAAAGAACATTCTTCCAGTCTGCGTTGTTTGTTATACGATGTTTTCGAATCCTTAATTTCAAGTCATTTTTAAAGGTTTTTACTTGAGTGTGCCAGTACTTTTGTCCACCCATAAAATGTCCAATAAATGCATTTTTGTTATCGTTTCGTGAAGCAATGTATTTAAATTATTGCTTCTATTATGTAATAAACTAGAACAGATAATAAATGAATATGTGAAAAAGTTTTTCCTTCAAATCAATTTGTTTAGTAGTTATAAGCACTTGTACCACAACAACCATGCTGTACCAATACTTTCGTCCAGCACTGTATATATTTATAAATAGTCTGACGCAGGTAATATCTACAATTTGCTTATAATTCAAAAAGATACAATTGATTTCTTTAAAAAGGCTAAGTTAAAAATACGTGTCATCCATATTTTAATATCATCAAGTGCCGGTAATTAATTAGCAATTAATTGGCAATAAACTCACCGGATATTGAAAAGAACGTAGTACTTACCGATTTTATATATCGAACGCTGCGTACCTTTTCTGAAGAACTAACGACAGCAACGAGATGAACGTAGGCAACGATTTCTTCGTTTGTACACACAACAGTAATATTCCAAGCACTTATAAAAACTAACCCCACCAACTTTCATGATTTTTCATTAACTCTGAATTTTTCATCTCAGTAGCGATCGTTGTCAAATACATGCAGCGTGGTTCACGATGTATTGACATTTAGATTAACCTCGTTACATATTGCAAAACGTCCGATTAGAAGCTAAAATTAAGTAGGAAAGCAAGAATTATCGGTACAAATATTGCTGTCACATTAAATTCGTGATATTATCGAAAGCGTTACGATTTCCCATCAACGTTGAAATTGAAATATCTTCTAAATTAATGATTTTTAACATAAATATCTTTTTCTAAAGAATATCAAGATACATCAGCTGATGCAATAAAAAATATATAATTCCAATTAAAAAACCGTAAATGACCTTTATTCGGATTAAGGGAGTATAACTATAATATAACTAGGATGTATATGTAGGAATGGTCAGCGTAGAATATTCTACGCACAATTTTAAGGAATTTTCCGCTATTATGGAATATTACACGCACAATTTTAAGGAATTTTCCGCTATTATGGTGTTAATCCTTGGAATGTCGTCCCGGTATTTCGTTCGGTCCTTTGTTTAGAATAGACCGTGTGAAGGCTCTGAAGTTTCACAAGTACCAGTGATGCGGCCCTAGGACCGCAATGTCCCAAGTAGAAGGCTGTTTATATCCTTACTGTCAGCGCCCTTTCATTTTTTTAACACCTAAGCCACCACTTAGGTAATCCGTAACAAACAACTATATATCACCCTTCAAGACGACGAGCACAATTGTCTAGATTGTTTAAACAACCACCACCAGCGAAGGACGCTGAAGTTAACATACACCCCCAACATCATACCAACCAATCAGCAGACAGTCGAACATTATATAACCACCGAGAGATCAGGAAGATCAGGTCCGTCAGTCAATATCATTCGAACAGTTCAGAAGAGTTATCCGAAACTACTACGTAAAATACAGTCCACTATAACCACAACCTTCCTCAAGAAATTTGGTTCGTCATTAACCGTCGCCAATTGAGGACGACCTATTGACGATATACATATGGAATATTCTACGTTTACTAATAGTAGACAGTCGTGGGCTAGCGGAATATTCCACGCCTGGATGCAAATGATATGTAAGGGTACATGGGCGAGAAACCAACAGTTCCAAGAGAGAGTCCTGTGAGAGCTAGTGTGAAAGGTTACAGCATCTAAATAAATAAAAGTTTTATCATCTACCACCGTCCTTTTGCTGCCTAATAAATAATTCCTACATACAGTGCTGGACAAAGGTATTGGCACAGCATGGTTGTTGTGGTACAAGTGCTTATAACTACTAAACAAATTGATTTGAAGGAAAAACTATTTAACATATTCATTTATTATCTATTCTAGTTTTAGCACATAGTAGAAGCAATAATATAATTACATTCATTCACGAAACAATAACAGAAATGTATTTATTTTATGGGTGGACAAAAGTATTGGCACACTCGAATAAAAACGTTTAAAAATGACTTGAAATTAAATATTAATATTTAGTTGAGCCTCCTTTCCTTTTAAGAACTTCTTTTAATCGTTTGGGCATTGAATCAACTGTCTTGTTTGTAAAATCTCACTCGATTTTATTTCATACTTGTAAAAGAACATTCTTCCAGTCTGCTTTGTTTGTTATACGATGTTTTCGAATCCTTTTTTCCAATTCGTTCCAGACATGTTCGATAGGATTCATGTCTGGACTCTGGGGTGTTGTATTTAGGGAATGAGAAGTATTATAAATGATCTAATGGCGTATGATGTAAGCGGTGTGCTTTGAAACGCGGGCTCGTTGGAAATAGAAATTCCGCGGGAGATTTAATTTTTCCGCACTTTTGAATAAATTTTGTTTTAATATATTCAAATATGTGTATTTGTCCATAATATCATTTATAAAAATTAATTTGCCAACCACAGATGCTGCATTAGAACCCCACACCATAACTCCACCACCTCCATGTTTTACACTCGATTGTAAATTTCGTAGATCCAGTTCAGTATTTCACTTTCCGCAAACTAATATTCTTATCGTCGGATTTAAATATGTTATTTTCATCTGAAAGCAGTATGTTGCTCCAAAATGTTGAGGCCTTCGTTATAAATTTTTTGGCAAATTCAAACCTCATCTTTCGATTTTTCCCCGATATGTATGGCCTTCTTCGCGCAACACACGCAGAATAACCAGCAGTTTTTAATACTTATTTTTTTTTTAATTTCTTAATACTTTATTTAATATCATTCTTAGTTCCGTGGAGTTTAATTTAGGATTTTTCTTCACTTCGTTTACAATTTTACGTTTTTCTCTAACAGATAACTCGGGAGGACGATCACTTCGATTCGCGTTATCAGAATTTGATTGATTTATAAATCGTTTTACAATGTTTCTAATAATAAAACGACTTTTGTTAACAATTTGTGATATTTAGCTGTAAGATTTTCGCATTTTATACAAATTTAGTATTATTTCTCTTCCGTCACTTGTCGTTTCTTTCGCATTTCTTGACATTATTACCTTTTTTTACTTTCTCTGTTGCTAAACGACTGAAATTTAGGATGATTGTTGTTAAAAATGACTAATCGGGGTGTCATCTAACTAGATTTTAAAATGACGATCGGACATTTTTCAAACAACTGCGGATATACTACATTTAGCATCGTGTGCCAATACCTTTGTCCATCCATAAAATGTTGAATAAACGCATTTTTGTTATTGTTTCGTGGATTAATGTATATATATTATTGCTTCTACTATGTACTAAAACTAGAATAGATAATAAATGAATATGTCAAAAAGTTTTTCCGTTAAATCAATTTCTTTAGTAGTTATAAGCACTTGTACCACAGCACCCATGGTGTGCCAATACTTTTGTCCAGCACTGAATATATATTTGGATGTTTCTCAAGCCGACAGAACGACTTGTGAATGTTAAAAAGGTACGTGACATAATTAGTCTAAATGCTTAATTTTTTTCCATATAGTCATCTGCAGCTATA